TCAATGCGCTCACAACGTCGTTATGAGCGTCGGCCAAAACGCCTCCGCATGTCAGCACATACAAGTGCATGGTCGATGTCCACACATGTGCTCCAAATCGAGAGTTCTGGACGCAGCCTCCCTAGCCGTAACTGATTGTAATCTGATCGATTTGCGTCCAAGGTTGGTTCGAAGCTGGTGGGCGCCAAGTCACCCTCCGACGAGTGCTTTGTCGGAAGTTAATGTTCGCAAGAAATAAGCAGGCATTTTCACACAAATGAATAAACCGCTCACCGTTAGCATTACGGGAGCCTACACCGTGCTGACCGCCCATATCCCTTTCATCAGTGGACAACTTTTCAACTTGTGCGTTCCGATGGCCAGCCAGCACAACAGTGTCCGTAGGACTTCTGTGGCGAAGGAGCTGAACCAGTTGGCGGTAGAAGTCGTTTTATGCCGAATCATCGCTACAGTTTGTAGGCGCATAGGCAGCGATGATGAATAGATAGCTAGTAGCCCCGCGCGACCTGGAAGTTTTGAACGGGCCAGTCAATCGTACCGCACACATCCAGCTACTGATTGGAATCCAATCAACCAGAGCAGCTTCAGCCCAGGCACTTAGGGAAATGCCAACACCAGCTTGGCCTGTGTTCGAAGCTGCATCGTCACAGGATAGACGCAATAAGAAATTACTGCTGATGTCACCTGAAGTGGATCGCAGAGTGGGCACAGAGCTGGAGTCTTGCAGGCGGGTCTCCGATAAGCAGCCGCTATTGATTGTGAGGGTCTCTAATGTTCGTGCAAGTGCTGCCTGTTGATCGATCTGAAGCAATGTGCGTACATTGAGGCATGCCAATCTAAAGGAGGATCTAGGGCTCCAATTGGAAGCCGATGAACTGGAGTGAACCACTTGGTTAGACATGGGCTTGTTGACAGGGCAGGAGTGACGCTCCGCGTTAGTAATTGAGTTGAAACTAGAAGATAAATGCTAAGCAAAGCTTTTTGGGAGAGGTCAAGCATCGTGGGGTTGAAAACTGGAGGGATAAAAGTGAAGATGTAACGAGACCATAAGGGAGATAAAGCGTAAGATGGTGAAAAAGAAGAAAGCAAGGCTTGAGCAGTAGCATCCAACCCCCTAACAACCCTGCCCGATGCAGCAGATAGGGCACCGTTGATTATCCTCTGCGGTGGCCAGAGCATCAGGAATTGGTTTGAAGAGTGATTCGTTGTATTGCTTATGCAGGATACTGCCAGGAGGCTCAGGCCTAGACAGGAGAACGATTAGGGGTCTCAACCAAAGCCTTTGGTTCAAAACCTGACCGCAAGGCAGCGGGTATTGCGTTAGGCTGCAATGAGTCCGTTTCAAGGAATAAGGTGCCAACCTCATTCCAACTCCTAAACTGCAGGACCAGGAGGCTGAGTTTGTCTGGCATCCAACCATTGACCAACCTGGTATGAGTGGCTTTGAAGGTGCAAAAACACCACCCAGCATAGCTCGATGGATCACTGAGGCACACAAACCATCGCAACACGGTAAGGTCCAGCCTCATTGCCAACAAGAATGCTTGCTGGCGATTCCCTACAAACACCGATTCGCGCGATCTTGATGCTTTTGATACCCCACCGTGAAGAGCGACTAAAATGTTATAGACCCATGCTATCTCAATAGGGATTACTCCGGTAGAAAGCCTCCTTCGTCCAAAGGTTGCATTATATAGATCAGTCACAAATACAACACCGTTTACCAAGCAACACGTGCATAGTGCTAAGTGATGACAAATGAACATGGCGATGAAATACCTGAGATCGGTATGCCGTCGGTAATCCAATCGGAAATGTCAAGCAGTAGAAATTTCTTGTGATATCGGTCCACTATTTACGAGGGTTCTCGTTCAAAATGAATTAGAGATACCCGAAATCATCCACAACCCAAGATATAGTAGAATGCAGTGATAAGGAAACACAATCTTCTTGCGGGCGAACACAGTTTTCGCAAGCTGCGCGTAGGCGCCCATTTATCAAGCGTGTCTCCAACTCACAACACAACATACATGGGGAATCAAAACATAGCCCCTACGTCCCTCATTGGCATGCAACGTTAGGGACCCAGGCTGCATGGCCGACCCCCTAGCTTTGCTTCCGTAACTCGCATTCTGATCAGCGTGGAGATTTTCTAATGTTCTTGATTAGCTTGATCTCGATTGCGTTATTCAGCTCGAGCTTATCGGTAAATGCACCGACATAGGAATTTTATACATAAATAAATAAATAAATATTTTATTCTTGACTAGGCGAGACACGCCCAAGGAGGCATGATCTGTTTAGTTAAACAATCGACACACCCGCTTTTTAGCATCCTCTGGCTTAGGCCTTTTCTGTTCCTTTCTCGCGGTTCGCTCTCCGCGCTTATTGTTGACATTGCGCCGTCCGATTTCGTCTATGATGCATGCGCCTGTTTCGGTCCTCGTTCGTTCGACTGGGTCTTCAGTCTTCTGCTTGATCGCCACCTTCCTTGCCACCAAATTATGTTTATTTTTAGTCTTTACGTCGCAACTACAAGCAACGTGGTTACCAATCGCCCTTAGAAGGCTATGTGCGCTTGTGTACAAGTGTGATAATGCGATAATCATGGAAATGTCGTAAATACCCAGTCCAATTTAATCGCTATTCATTTAGGTTCCGTTTTTATCACAGAAACTCTCCTACAATAATTGCTAATATTTAGTTTATTCACATGTAATCCGCCAACTCCCTCCACCAATTGCTTTAATCATGCTCGATCTCATCAGCTACGGAGTGTAAGCCGAAAATTCGCGGCCGGTGGGGTTTCAGTTGGGACTACTACCACGTACGCAAGCATATCACGAAGAATAAAGCTCGGCACTATGGTTAACGACTAATTACAAGGTATCGTATTGTACTCTGCTTGTGTCTTGAGTGGAATACTGTAAGTTTTGTGCGCAACACCCGTTTTGAAAGCGCTTCACTTACATACTAGTGATGGAACAGTCCAAGGTGCTCTTCAAAGCGAATCAGGGTGCAGAGTGAGATTGCGCGTCGCTTTTTAACATGATCCCATTGGGCAGGTCATTGTGCACGTAACAATCAGCATAGATAATTCGTGTTTGATCTGTTCATGCATTTGCGAAAATAAAAGACGTTCTGGTCAGTTTGGGCAACCTCAGCATCTTGTGAGCATAGCCAGTGCATCATCCGAATTGAATAGGAAATATGATGACGGCGTGTATCTATAGTTAAATGTCGACAATGCATCAAGCTGTCATTCGATACAAGAACAGTCCTCTTCTCATTTGCCAATCTTAACCTTGCTTCTAGTTTCAAGTTCAATGGGAAACCGCCACTCTTTGTTCCGTTCATCTATGGGTTTGTGTTATGATCTCAGATTTTGTATCTCAGCCATAAAAGGAATTTGACTTGTTTTCGAGGTCAACCGGTGAGAACTCGCAGTCTCAGATGGAGTCAGGATTTGCTGCTTGTGTGGCAAACGCAGTGTTTAAAGGGAAAACTGTGCTCTACCGAAATCATCGTACGATAAGTTAGCATAGTGGATCACGCCACTAGTTGGTGAGACAAGGCTCATTTGAAGTATAAATGTGCAAGCGTAGTTTTTGTGGACAACTTGCCCAAGTGTTATACCGAACGATCAGAATGAACCAGTTTGCCGTTTTGCTTATTACGTTAGTTCAGGTGGCGCAGCTTACAAGTGGCACTCAATACAACGATTGCGGTGAGTTTTGAAGGTAATCGGTTGAATTGGATCGCAATGTCAGATGGGATTAATGACGAGCTGGGAGTTCCACTAGAACCAGTTCCAGGGCCGCGCTTACCAATGGTCTAATAATAACATTGTGCCTGTGATCCCCTCTGAACGTCGCTTCGAGCGGCTGACGTTATGAAACGACGATCGACCAAGTGCATTGGAGAACACCCAACACTCCAGCATGTGCTGGACCGAGTCTATGCATTAACGTCTGGGACTCAGCTCCTATGTGCTTCATCTGCCGACCAAATGTATGTAGATGCTGAGGAATCAAGTTCTAAAGGAGTTTCCTCAGAAGCGTGAACGTGAGCTTGAGCTAACCTCACCCGTTTGACTTCGGTTATTGAAATCTTTCCAAAGTTCCAGAGACCGTGAATCAGTACATTGTTCATCCGCGGTGACTGGAAGAATGATTTGCTCAATTCGTTTAGCAGAAGATGCATGACAGATACGGGTGGCCTCATGTGGCAATCGGCATCAATGCATGGCAGCTATGGCAGAAGCAAGAGCCCACCACACTCACAATTCCTCAACAAAAAGTGACTAAACATACCAAAAATGGTTCTTCCTTCTATAGCGACTTAGTTTAATTGTGCTAGGGCGGAAAATGTTCAACAGTGGTGTGTACTCTTCGCTCCGAGAACGTCGTGCCAGAAGCCGAGAAATCTCAGTCATGTTTGACGCAACCAATTGCAACCAATTCGCAGCATAATCCCACGGGACAGCTGCATTGCTATGATTAAACAATACGGCTAGATGAAGTATTAATAAGGCGTTTTCCTACCAGCCATTAACTCGTTTCCACTTACGCTGTTTCTGCCTCCACATTAACAACGTTCGATAAATCATATGAAGCTGCATGAACCTTGTATGCACTAGTAAGTTGGTACCGTTAACATTCTGAAGGGATATAGCATGAGAAGTGACGCGCTGGACAGCTTTCCCTACACACTTGAGGTTGGCACTTTTGCACGATGGTCGAGTTGCCATAATATTGGGTATATACTGGCGCTTTCAATTAGTCGCAACCTTTCCGTTAACATTGATGTCGCTTAATTTGTCATCACACGGTACTCAGTAGCACTTACATTTCAACCTGTAATGTTCATTTTCCGTTGCCACTGCATTCGCTGACGGATGCCGTGAGTAAACATGTGATTCATTGTACATGTTCTTGAGAGAATATTGTTGAACTACATCAGTATAACGCTCCTCTTATGCTTACTTGTTTTCATTGTAGGCTCAACCATGGGCTCACTGAGTGAGGTAAGCGTGACTCCATGCGACAGCAGTCCGTGCATATTGTACAAGGGCGAGAACACTCGTGTGACAGTGAAATTCACTACAAGTAAGTGTAACACAGGACACGCAATTATAGGACTAGACATTTGTAAACTGACTGGCTGATGCCTACTTCTCTCACCTACACTTACACACTCTTACAGGTAGACGCATCACGACCGGGACATTCTTATTTTCGGGAATTATTGACGGGCAAGAGATACCGTTCAACCTGACGAATTCCTACATTTGTCCTTATATGCGACCCAGATGTCCTCTCCGAGCCAATGGAACCGTGTACACTTTCACTTATTCGCTACCTGTCCAGGCGTCATATCCATCAGTGAGTTGCAAGTTGGAAGCATTTCAAGCATTTATTTGCCACTGAAATTAGACCGACAGTTGAACATTTATCATTACACACATCCACTGCAGCTTTAATGTCAGCACTCTTCTAATGTGAAGGTGGACAGAAGCAGAGATAGGTATGTCGTATCAATTGATGATTGGTAGAGAATTCTCACCTTCATCTGGCAACCGTTCTCTCATGGTTAATATGGAATAGAAATTACACCATCCTGATTTATAACATGAGTCTCAGCTGACTCGTGTTTTTGTGCGGCATGCATGAGTCCCATTTAAGTGGAAACGCCGTCTCTCATCAGTGGAATACAGGTTGCCCATCATTCTGAATAATTTGAATACCCGTAAAATTCCTGCAATGCACTTCGACGATTGAACGGAATGGCCGTCCGCAGTTGGTGCGTGTCTGCATTGGAAGAGAGTGCCTGTCGTTTGCACCACCCTCGCCTTCTCATACACGTTTGCTAAACCGCATCCTGGCAACACTGCATTTTGCGTAGATGAAAACAACGCTTTTTGCATAAATAGTATTTCCCACATACTCGATAGATTCACGAGGATCGATTACGCCAAGTTGGTCGCTAATCTCCAAGGCATTTGTGCACGCGACTGGATGAGACTAGTCCTGGTTGGCCTTAACGACGAAAACGACGGGCATGTTTGCGCTGTTCATATGAGTACTTGCTCAAATACTGACACTGCTCTTATATCTACTTTGTTTCAGATTACACTCCCAGTGGATTGGAAATTGATTACCAACGGTCAGACAGCCATCTGTGCACGCATCCCAATCAGCATTGAGTGGCGTGGGCAAGGACAAGACTTGGTCACTTGAGTGTGTGGATTTAACCATTGGAATACACCTAATCATTGGTCAAGTGTTCACTGCTTCATATCAACCCACGGTTTAGCACAGGATTGCGTGAGACTGGGTTGTGTGGGTATTGGGATGGGTGGAAGAAGTACAAAAGACAGCGTGCGTAGTGCGACCGGCATCTATCGTTCCAGGTGAATTGTACACACCGTACAGCCATCGGAGTGTGTTTTAGTACAGACATTTCCAAGTTTCCGTATTTAGATGGTCCCGTTATGAAGGCGAACTTTGACAGATGTATGCAATTCGCACTGTTGCTGAATGCAATCAACCACATGCAGTTATGTACGCAATCTGGGAATGCATGTACTACAAGCTACATATGGAATCTGGGCACATCCGCGTGGTATATTCAATGGGTGCCGAGTCACCTTTGCTAAGCCCACAAAACCGACCGCATGCGATTTACGCTAACAGCCTTGTTGGAGTAAGATGTGCGGAGTTTCGAGTAGTAAAGCTCAATACTGAGCGCCAAACAGCACACTATCCATTAACTTGTGACCAGTCGGTGGTTATCCATTAGGAATGCTTACGCCATCTTGCGGACGGTGATACAGAAAGAGGTTATGACTGTAAGGTCCATTCTTGTCATGTTTGTCACAACTTATCCATCCCAAAGGAGGTATTTGTAGTAGAAGTGCGTGGTTCAGGGACATATGCTTGATTCGACAAATCAGTTTCCGCAGATTCGACAATATAACTGGCAATTAGAATCCTTGCTGAATAACTAGGTTACTTCTACAAGAAACGACTTCACTGCACGCAGCAAGTCTTACTTTGGAATCACTCAAACGAACTACTTGCAACGCAATCAAATACAAACGAGTCAGCGCATATTTAAAATATGCATAGGCGTGCCAACAACTGCTCCGTTCGCTTACGGCAAGCTAGCCACGTGATTCATCATGTAACTCCGTCTCGTTCCTCTGATCGCACAAGCCCATCAGAGATTTCGCTTTCTCGTGGGCAGACGCATCGTTGTCGCTGAAGCGTCCTTACACCCTTCCGTACCTCGTGGTCTTTGGTGCCCTGTCGTAATCTTTCCGCAAACCGTCGTGTGCCCTGCTTCCGATTCACATTCACTTACCCATACTTGCCTCAGATGCACTCGGTTATTGTAAAAATTTACCATCCAATACTGTTTTTGAATATGTTTCCCATATTTTCGTGGTTAATACACCTTGCTTCCATTGTTTGCTGACACCCGGTATTGGTTACATCCACCCAGCATCATTTACTGATTGCTCAGTAGTGTTCGATTAACGCAGTTGAATGGGACACAGGTGAATGCAAGGAGTTAGCCATTCACAATAGCGACTAAACAACCGACTTCGTACAGGTCTGCACGCTTTAGTTAGAGATAAGATTTGTGAGGGTTTCCCCTTGTATGGGACAAACATGTTGTTCAGTCCATTTGGATCCTGCGTCCGCGTTTTCCTTCCCAGAGTCCTACCATTGGCCTTTCACTGATTTCTCGTTTTATGTTGCATATGTTGGGTCTCAGTTCTTTTTGTCTCTTACCCATAACATGTAGATGGATAATCCGCTTGCTTTTGTGTATGCAGCCCAGCCTATGAGTACCGACTAACTTCGCTTATGTGGCTTTCCATGCTAAAGTACCAATACACACTACAACGCACGACCTAAAACACATTGCTCTGACTGTGCGGAACAAACGCCCTTGCCTGTCTATCTTGTGTCGATGAATCATTTAGCAGAACTGTTCTATTATTACTTTTTCGACCGGCTAATCATTTCCGATTTGCGACGCTGGCTTTGAGACAACCGGTTTGTTACCCATTTTGCTACTCATTCTTGTCATCGCTTAACGCATGGATCGGTCCTCTGCAGTTTCGACCGAAGACTTTGATTCCGATTCTGGGTGTGCGGAACGCTTTTGAGCTGTGTCACCTTTTCGCTTTTATCATCATTTAATAGCACCATAATGTCACCGATTTTTGCTGTGTTATTATCTCGGGACATGTATATCTGCAATCCATTCCCATCTTTAAATTCCTCAAGCAGTGAATACGCGTATAACTCGACAGCTCCTAAGTGATTTGACGCTTACACACTGGACAACTCACTGCAGCTCAGCCATGCATCAACCAACCATGTGTGCCTAGTAGGCGCAAGGTCATGTATGGTGAAAAATAAAGAAGGATTTATGACGAGGGCGAAATCCATTGCTTGACAAGTTCAGTGGGATGACCAGCCTGAGGACTGTGAAACCGAAAATGAAATCGACAGGAATAGTGGGTGAACAATCGAGTTCGAAGTGGGTTCTTGTTAGGGAGCTGGCTACTTAACCCTCAGTTTCATGAATTATGTTTTGTCGTACAGCTATCCGACGTAAAGGAATGAATCGAACTGGATCAACTCAGAAGCCCCCTACCGCATGCTGGAATTGTGACGCCTGGCATTTTTTGATCGATTGCACATATAAAACGCACCGATGCCAGAAGTGCAGACGGATTGGCCATAAGGAAACCCACTGCCGAGCTGTGAACAATTTCAGACGTTCTTTTCTCCCCAAAATGCGCGTAACTCTCAACTTTAGAAGAGCCAATTTTCACTGACCGGCCGCAAAGATAATCCTCGCCGCGTTTCGCACAGAACTTGCACGCAAGAGAAAGTACATGTCAGTAAAAGTCAATGGTGTTCCTATCACGTTGCAGCTGGATACAGTGTCCGAAATTACAATCATCTCGAGATCAGTCTGGAAGAGGCTTGGGAGACCAGCATTCAAACGCACAACCCTGACGGCTAAAAATGCATCTGGGGGACCACTGAGATTAGATGGTGAGATTGCGTGCGAAGTCAGCTTCAATGGCTTGAATCTTCGTGGCACGATTTACTTGGTTACGAGCAGTGACGTAAATCAGCTCAGCATCGATTGGATCGAGAAGCTTCATCTACTCGACGTACCACTGAGTCACATTTGTTCTGGGAATTATGTCGCGGTGCTTCAAACAGCCGTATCGAATCAGCCGGATCAAAGTATTGCAGAACTGCTTCAATCGAAGTATGCATGTGTATTTCAATCAGAGCTTGGACATTTGCACGGAAATGCAGGCAAAGCTTACCCTGCTTCCTGAGGCAAAGCCAGTGTTCCGACCCAGACATCCAGTCCCTCACGCATCCCAAGCACTCGTGGATCATGAGCTTGATCGATTATAGCTGGCCGGAGTGATCGAGCAAGTCAGTTTCTCATAATGGGTGGCGCCTATCGTTGTGATCAGAAAACCAAATGGCTCAGTTCGTTTGTGTGCAGGTTTTTCAACCGGCTTGAATGCTGCATTAGAACCCCATCAGTACCCGCTTCCACTCCCAGACGACGTGTTTGCAAAGCTGAATGGAGGCAAGTACTTTGCTACTCTGGATCTGGCAGACGCTTATTTGCAACTGCAGGTCGAACCGGAAAGCAGAAAGCTTCTAACAATCAACATGCATCGCGGCCTTTACCAGTATAATCGTTTGCCATTTGGAGTAAAAACTGCACCTGCAATCCTTCAACAAGTTATGGACGCTATGTTGACTGGCTTGACGGGAGCAGCAACCTATCTAGATGATACCATCATAATGGGCGGAACACAGGAGGAATTGTTTCAACGATTGGATGACGTGATGATGAGAATTAAGGAATATGGATTCCACTTGCGAGCTGACAAATGTAAATTTTTCCTGAGATCCATCAAGTTCCTGGGTTTCGTGATTGACGAGAACGGTCGACCGCCTGATCCTGAAAATATCGAGGCCATAGACAGATTACCGGTACCAACGGATGTCACAACCTTGCGCTCATTCCTTGGGATGGTGAGTCATTATAGTGAGTTTCTACCTTGCATGCATCGATTACGTCATCCTTTAAACCATTTGTTGATGAAAGATGTTGAATGGAACTGGTCCGCACAGTGTCAAGAAGCTTTTGACAAACTCAAATCTATGCTGAAATCAGATTTGCTCCTTACGCATTACAATCCGAAGCAGGAGATTGTCGTGGCTACGGATGCTTCAAGTTATGGAATTGGTGCTGTCATCTCACATTGCCTTCCAGGCGGGTCCGGAAAGGATGTGGCACATGTGGCACGAGCGCTGACCGCATTTGAAAAGAACTACAGTCAAATTGAGAAGGAGGCGTTGGCTATCATCTTTGCCGTACAGAGATTTCACAAGATGATATATGGCAGAAGATTCACGCTAGTAACTGATCACAAACCGCTTTTGGCAATCTTTGGATCTAACAAAGGCATTCCGACATATACAGCCAGTCGACTTCAGCGCTGGGCAACACTGCTCCTGGAGTATGATTTTGGCATGCGGTATTTGTCCACTGATTCTATTGGACAAGCGGACTCCCTGTCCAGACTGACCAATACCGGTAGACGCGATCAAGAAGACGCAGTTATTGCATCCATTGCAGCCGAATCGGACGTCAGCTACGTGATACAAGACGCAGTGTGTAACTTGCCAGTGAATGGTTTAATGGTTGCGCAGGCCACTAAACAGGACGCTGTGCTACAAGAAGTATTAACCTATACAAGAAGTGGATGGCCAAAGAAGTGTCCGAAAGAAGCTTTGACCCAGTGCTTCACAAGGTGAGGTGCATTGTCGGAAGTTGATTCCTGTCTGTTTTTCGCAGATCGCATAGTCATTCCAGAAGTGCTCAGACAGCGCATACTAAGAGAGCTGCACAAGGGCCATCCAGGAATCGCCCGCATGAAGGCACTCGCTCGCAGCTACGTCTTTTGGCTGATGATGGACAGCCAAATTGAGGATATCGGTCGATCCTGTTCCAGATGCATCCGTGCATCCAAACTGCCGGTGCGTGTGCCATTGCAATCTTGGTCGAATCCAGAATCTCCCTGGTCGCGCATACATGTTGATTTCGCAGGACCAGTCGAGGGTGTGGAATTTCTTGTGATGGTTGACGCGTACAGTAAGTGGCCGGAAGTGATCCGGATGCAAACCACGTCCTCAAACAGCACGATCTC